CTCCAAGGAGAGAGGCGGCGAGCTAGCTGGGAGCATAAACAACGGGGGCCGCTCAAGCATCTTGCTAACTGCACCCCTTTGTTCTCCCCCTTGGTGTTCTCCCCCATAAGGCCCAACTCCAACTAACAAAGATTTACGGAGCACCTTCTTTGCACAGGGCGTTGCCGTCAGGTACTAGCAGGGACAGAGGAAGCGCAATCTGGAATAGGATCTGGTTTGTAAGAAGTCCAGTGGGGCAAGAGACCAGCACTTAATACTCCAGAGCAGAAGCTGAGGGCTGCGGTGGAGAGGGAGAGAAGGGAGGGGGGCGTGTGATGAAAGCTGAAGAGCAGAGTATTTTTTTTCCAGAACCAGGAAACCAAAGGCTCCGATGAGGCAGTAACACAGTTGGGGGGAAGGGGAGGGTGAGGCCGAGTTAGATGCCTCTGCTTCGGGGGGCCTTTTCCTGCCCACCCCAGAACAGACTGCCCTCTCTTTCAAGCGGGCCTCTCACTCCCCGTCCCACAGCTCAGCCAAAACTACAATGTCACGCGACCCTGGGACGTGGCTTGACTTTCTGCCTCGCGTGGCCAGTTAATTCTGCAGATCTTCCTTCAGCTTTTTTATTTGTATGTGTCATCTCCCAACCAAATGATGGCTCCCAAGAGAGCTGAGAACCTGCAGTAGAACTTTCTGTATCGAGTCACAGACAGCATGTGCTTGTGGCTTGTACGGGAGGGCAGCTCCATGAATCTCTGCTGGAAAGGAGATGAGTGAACAGAGCAAGGCTCCCAGACTGGAGCCAGGGTCCTGCAGGAGTTCAGGACCACTTGCAAATACTGCACGTGACAATGAACGTTTTCTAGACAACTTCAAGACTCCTGGCGAGTGGACTTTAGAAAACCTAGATGAAGTGATAAAGACATAGCAGGCCACAGCTGCCAGGGGCTGGGGGAGGGGGAGGAAGCGTTTTGGGGATGAGGAAAAGGTCCTATGTCTTGAATGTACTGGTGGTTACCCAACCGAGGGCGTCTCTCAACATTCACAGATCTGAACGCCTAAAGCAGGTGTTTTACTGTATTTCACGTAATACACACACTTTAGACAAAGAAGTAGACAAGCACCTCTATTCCGATTTTAAGCCTATCCGGAATGCCAGTAACCCAGATAGAAAAACAGATTTTTGTTTTCTGGGCTACAATCTCGACACTCAGTTAATATAATTACGTTATCTCTAAGGCCAAATGTCAACCTAGGATTGTGCGGCTTTGTGCCTGGGACAGGGACGACCAATGCTCTCCATGATGGAGGATTTTAGAAACTTCCCAACTCACAAGTCACAAGTCCAGGGGAGAAGCAGGGAAATCCCAACATCTGAGATGCTCTCCGGGCATGCGTTCCATACACCCCTGCCCTAATCAAACCATCTCTCTTTCTCTCTCTCTCCATCTATACAGATAGATGTGAACTGATTTCCCTGAGCCACCAAACTTTGCCCCAGGGGACAACACAGACAGTGCCACTGATCCCTGACCACGGAAGTCGCACAAGGAGAGCAAACGTGGCAATCTGCTACAATACATGAGGTCAGACGTGGGAGCCCTCTACGTGCTGGGGTGTCCTAACTGACACCCCATAATAGCCAAACATAACATTTCTGGAGCGCTGAACTGTGTCTTTCTCACCTTGCCTGACCACCTGCCAGACCTCACAACCGCTAGGGAAGGTACATTTATCATCCCCATTGGAGACAAGAGGAAAAGCTTTATGAGTTAAATAACTAATGGAGAGTCCAAAGATTTAAGTCAAGGTCAGACAGCCAGGAAGTGGCAGAACCAGGATTCAAATCCAGCTCTCTCTGACCCAGTGCTCAACTCCCCAGGGCTCTGCAGTACAGACTCCCTAACAGAAAAAGTCAAAGAAATTCAAACTTTCTAAGCCCCTTTTCAGATTAAAAAAAAAAAAAACTTCCAAATCTCACCTTAATAAGACTCTGGGCTCATAACCAATACTGAAATTGCTTTTCAACAGTTCTATATTGGGTGCCAAGGAAATTCTCAAATGGTTGGAGAAGCTAGAAATCCACTAAGCTTCTCCAGCTTAGGGAGGTCAGCACATCAGGAAAAGAGTCACCCACAGGAATGTAATTTTATCTGGACCTTGTTGCTGAGACTTACAACAATATTATTCATGGCTGGTTACTGATGAACCGGTTTGATTCCTTAAAAGGTCATTCTTACTTTATTAACAATTGTTGACTTAACGCTGGGCCCCACCTGAGAAAGTAGCTGCCCCCACACGTCAAAGAAAGCTCTTAAAGGTAGACTATTCGAAACCAGAAAGTTCTTTGAAGGTGGGTTGGTCCTACCCACTTTGCAGCTGAAAAAAGCTAAAACCCAGGGAGGCTCGGTAAATTGCCAAGGTCACTCAGGCAGCTGCAGGGTCAAGATCAAAGCTTTTTTTGCAGGGTGTATATAAGCAGGCCATCCACATGCTACCAGGGAGAGGAGTTTCTTCTTGGTCTCATCTGAAAGTTGGAGAATTTAACCTGTTAATACCAGCCCTGGTGACAGACAGCCACTTCTCTTACTCAAACATATTTTAATATGATTGTGATAATATCATAATCATACCATTGTTTTACCACCTTCTAACCTGACACAGTGATTTTTTTCTGTTACACTCATTTGATCTTTGCAACAAGTCCCTGCGGCAGCCAGGACCAGTTTTATTATTTCCATCTTAGATAGGAGGAAATCGAGACTCAGAGAGGTTAGAGACTTTGCCTAGGATCACGTGGTAAATAAAAACCTGCAGAACTTGGTGTAGAAACCCGTCTTTTAGCTTCACATCTGGTGCTCTTTTGTTTTGTTTGGCTTTTTTAAATAAAATACAGCCATGATTCGGTTTAGGCATCCAAGAGCGATGGTGGGAGAGACAGTCTCTATGGGGTTAGTCATTTCAGAGAAGGGAGCCCTGTCCTTGCACGGGCCAGACTGTCCTCAACTGTGACAGGGAGGTGCAGAGCGGGGCTGGAGTGTGACCGGTGCAGTGTATGCACTCTTCTCTCCCACGAGCAAACAGCATCGCATGCCACTCTGCTGCCAAGGGGGGCAAGTAGTGGGGCCCAGTGAACACTCAGTCGAGTTAATCAATCTGTTTCAAGGGTCAGTGGTCTGAGAGCGGAAAGCTGGGGAAGACCTCTCAGGTTGCACTTACCCTTAATGAGGAACCTGTCCAAGGTCCGTTTCTCACCACGCTGTGTTGACAGAGCCTGAGCTTCCGCACAATGGTAACAAAACCCACAACCAAAACCTCTTTTTGGATAGGCACATGGAAGTCCATTTGTTCAGAATAATTCCAAGTTCCAAGACAAGTACAGAAGAGGAGGACAGGAGCTAGGTCCCAAGGACCCTGGGGACACGAGGGTCTTTGTCCTGGGGAGCAATGGTGACACTGGTATTTTTTAACAAATGATTCTGTGGGGGCGGGGGGGCAGCTGGAAGCAGAGCTTAGGCGAGAGCCAAGGAGAATGGGAGCCATATCGGAAACAGAAAGGATTCAGATTTGAGAAGCGAGACACGGAAAGACAGGATTTGAAAGTTAATTATAAATGAGCTGAAGGCGGCAAGGGACAGGGGAAGGTGAGAAAAATATGTAGCCTCATAAAAAGTTGGCGGGTTTCTTGGGTAAATAAAAACTCCTTACGGTTGAAAAAATAACAGCCCACCTCCACCGCCCAGGGCTCCTGTGCACATGGTGACCAAGGGCACGCTGCACTCTGTGACCTTGGCTTTTCCAAGGTCCAGCTGAAGGAAAACAAGATACACTATCGGTTCTGTGTCTGGGTACACTGTGATATCCTGGTTCACATCTCACACGGACTTTCGTGTTGCCAAGTTTTCTAGGGGTCCTGATAAACATGGATGCCTTGACTCTGGCCCCGGCTCCTGAGGGATGAACAGCATACAGCCATGGAAATGAGCATGGAAAGCCTTCACTTGCTCCTTCTCGAGATGGGTGCCTTCCATCTAAAGAGCTACCCCAAAGCTACTTTTCATCTTGCAGATGGAATTTTTCATGTCTTAAGCACCAGGGAAAAAGGCAAAAAGAATAGGGGACAAAGGAGCTGGAAAAAGACGAAGACAGTTCTACAGCCTAGAGTCACCTCTGGCATCCTCAGATCCTTCCAAATCTGGTGCCGGAGGCTGCCAACCCTGAGTTGTAACCATGAGACCCTGGGGGACGAGGGCGGGGAGGGGGCAGGTAGGGAGGCTATAAGTCTGGTCTCTAAGTTGTGAATCTATTCTGTTCCCTTCAGTACTCAGTTTCTAAGCTTGACTAAAAGAAAAGCTACTCAAGGTTTACTGTAGATTAAGTTGGTCAAATTTGGAAGCAATTACCCCCCAAAAAAGGACATCCTAGAAGGTACGTTTTGGGCCACCAAAATCAAGACAAAATCCAAATCACATTATTTCCTACTTTCCATGTCTAGGCACCAAAGGCCTGCTTGATTTACTTCAGAGTAATGAATAGCCAGCCTCCCTTATTTCACAACAGTCTTTGCTCTCTTGAAGGGTGGGGCTACCGTCTACCAAGAAACACAATGGGGTTCTGTAGCCCCGCCTGGGCCAGTCAGACGGCCGCACCTGCAGACTTTCCATACTGGCCTGGAGGTGATTTCAATACAGCTCCGCAGAAGCACTGCTGACCCGGGCGAGATGCCAGCAGGGTATTGTCAGAACAGTTCAACATGTGGCTGGCTTCTTCTGCTTCCTAAAAACAGAAGTTGCCACACACACAAAATAATTCAATGTGAAAGAAAAGTAAAAAAAAAAACCAAAAACATAATAATAAGGTGTTTTTTTTTTCCCTCCCTCTCCTTAAAGGGAGAGCAGGGAAGGTCTATCGGGGATGCTGACCTGTGCATTTAAACACACGGGAGAGATGGAACATTAAAAGATCTGGTCTAAGTCCTGAGACGCCGCACTCCTGCTTGGAGTGCACGACCAGGGAAATCTGGGGAGCACGCGCAGCTGTTACAGACGAGAAGGCAGGGCCAGGCCACAGCTCGCCGACCATCAGTGCATGCTCATGCCTGTGTGTTTTCCCGCTAGGATTTGCTGCAAGAATAAAAGTAAAATATAGCAGCAGTCTGGCAAGAGTTCATTTGTTAGGGTAACAGTACATTCTGTGTTTTACACCCTTACTGGATTCGCTTAGCAAACAGCCACCCTCTCCAGAATAAAAATGTATTGGTTTGCTGGCCGCCGCTGGGTTAAAGGCATTGATTTTCAATCTATTTCCCTAGCGACAGAACCTACTGACAATGGGGGAAATACTATCATGGGTTAAGGACTTATTTCAGCTCCCATTTTTAATCGTATAAACATGTGCTTATAAGAGTAGAATGAACACATCTTGAAGCTTTCATCTTGGTGCCTAGACACAAAACTCTAAGGAACTCTGGATTTAGAAACAAATGAACTGAAAAAAAGAAATGGTGTCATTTTAAAATAACACTTTTTTTTTTTTATAAAAAAGTAAAGAAAGACAGAAAGAATCTCTCAAGTGCCTCCAGTGGCCTTGGAATCAGAACCCCTATGTTTCTCATCTCTGTCCACATGTCCCAGAGGCTGGGGTGGGTAATTAGCGGTCACGTGAGAAAGTGTAGACAAAAACTCTATGAAGGGTTTAAAACCTGAGCCAGTGCTGTTGTTGGCAATGATCACAAATTACCCACTTCTTTAACATACTTGCGTGGATTCACTTCTTATGTCATTACACACATTCGTGAGGGCCACTGACCAATTAGAAAGAGATACTCGAACTCATTTTGCTGTCATCCGTTATTATTTTATTATTAGGCCAAGGAAGAGAATCATTTCATCCAGTAAGTGATCCTCTATAACCAAACCTGGCCTTCGTCTTTGTCCTAGAAGTAAGGACTCATTAAATTAGTACCAACCCCATGCAGCACCAATCATACAAAAAGAACCCCCGACCTGACAGAGAATTTACATATCGAAGACTCAACCAATATGTTAAAAAAAAAAAGGAAAAAAAATTGGTCCAGTTCTAGCTTTTGTTTGGCATCTTATCTGAGGCTGAATTCTCCTCCTTCATGAGGGGGGAGCTCCAAAAACCAACCAGCTCTCTCAAAAATAGGCTGAATCTTAAGAAAGCATGCCTGGAGGATTGGCAAATATCTTCCTTTTTTAAAAGGGGCTTTCTAGGGACAGCCTGCTGAGAAAGGGCTGGTAAAAACCCAGGTGCTGGTGAAGGAGCTCTCGGCCTTGGAGAAAAGGGTCCAGGAGGGAGGGAGAGCTGGGTTCCCGTCAGCCACGTGGCCTCACTCCAGAGGGGAAGTGAGAAGAACGCCTGCTCCCGAAGACCTCACTCAGCTCAAAGTGACAGTGGGACCATCTGTTTCTGCAAAAGTGCCCCGTCCGGACGGGAGCCCTGGGAGAAGGCGAGGCCCACCGCCCTGAGATACAGAGCAAGCTGTATTTCAACCCAGACTGCTTTTTCCCCTCACACTGCGTTCTGCAGGAGACCTCGGCGTGCAAGGGGGTCCGTGCATACGCGACTCTGCTTCCCAAACTACCGAACTGAGGGGAAGGAGGAGCGGCTGCCATCGGCAGGGGCTGCAGCCTCCTGTCCGCATCAACTGAGAAGCCCCAAATGAAGGTGCCCGATGTGAGGCTTGCTCTCGGAGCCCTGCTTGATCGCTCTGGTTCTTACCAGCATCAGAAGCTCTAATCATTTGCAAAATGGAGCAAAATGTCACGAATTAAAAGGTACTGAGGGTAAAGGAGCCGGGGTTCTGGATTCTAGGGCTGGAGTTAGAATCCGAGTTCTCGGCTGGGCCTCCACTCTTGCAAAGAGCCCCCACCATCCCTTCACTGGTCACCGCAGCATCCCAGTGGGACTTTATTGAGATGTAATTCACACTTGTCACCCTCCTATCTACAAGCCTCCAGGGATGGTATTTACACTGTGTGTGTAGGTAAAACATTTGTGTCCTTTACTATCTGCTATACTTCAACATAAAAAAAAATTTTTTTAAAATACACTCTACAGCAGTTTGGGAATAAAACCCAAGCTCCTCCCCAGCGGCTCCCACGACCCCGCCCTGCCTCCCTTCCTAGGAGCCTCATGTGCTCTCCCAGACTCAACTCACTACACCAGCCACACAGCCTCCTTCCTGTCCTCCAAGCCCATTCCTGCATCGGGGTCCGCTGCAACTCCACCCACCGGCTTCAGGGGGAACGTGGCTCCTCCCAGAAGCCTCCGATCTAGATGGGTGGCCGGTTCTTCTCCACACCCCTCCATTCCGCTCCTCTTCCGCTTTGTCACGACGACAGTGCTGTCGTCACGTGCGGTTTTGCTTGTTTACTGTCTGGCTCCTTGTCTGAAGCTAGGAATTGGACCTGCCTTGCCCCACAACCTACTCTGTGGGATCAAAGTGTGCCCTCTGGCCATGTGCCTCCGTGCCTCAGTTTCCCCATCGGTCAGATGAGCACCACCTCTGTAGCAGATGCTGAGAGAACTCGTGGGGACAGTCTCCTCCCTCCTTGTTCCCAAGTTAATAAACACTTTTGTCCATGTGACCAGTGGTTGAGAGATGGAGAATGGCTAGTCATTAGCCACGGGGGGTGGGGGGAAAAACCCATTTCATCTGCCTGTTTTCTTGAGGTGGATTCACCTCGGTTCCTCCATCTGATCTTCAAAGGCCTTTGTTCTTCAGCCCTGAATCTGGGGGCCTGAACTTGCATTTTGAGATGGTTCCAAGACCTCCTCCCGCTGGCTATGTTATTTCAAATCACGTTTTACAAATTCTCGACCCCAGAGGGCTACTTGTGTGTATATATAAAAAAAATGAGACGTGAAAACAGTTTACCTATGATGTTCACCGTACTATCCACTTCATTTTTTTATAGCTGAAGTCAGGACCGCATACTCAGGAGAAAGATCACTTCCTCCATTACTAAGCCCCAAAGATGACTCAACTGGTTCTTGCTAGGAAGAAGAAAAGAAAAAAGAATTGAGAACACTTTCCTTTCCCTCCCTTTTCTTAGCTTAAATTCTACCCCCTGTCTACTTTCTTGAATGCTAAGGTCGTGTTCATCTCCCAAATGCATTCCCTGCAAGGCTCAAATCAGCCTGGAGCTTAAGAAGTACATTTCTGCGTAGAGCATCACATCAAGGGTTCACTTTCTTTGATTTGCCTTCGAGATGGTACCAGTGTATCTGGCTTGCCTTCCTGTAATGCTTACACCTGCAGACAACAGCTCTGGGGTTAAGCCAAGCTGTGCACAGAATCAGCTCCTGGCTTTCCCTCTAAGGAAGGAATCCTGCTGCCTCTTTTCACAATTTCGGAGGAAAAGCCTCAATCTTTGGCCCGAGCACAGGAAACCAGAGGACACGGTAGACGAGTTCTTCTCGGATATGGTTTGCCCTGGACTCTGGCCACTTGAGCATCGGGTGAGAGCCTGATAACCTGGGCCAGACTCACAGCCAAAGCCTCCTCCACCCCGTGGAGTCCCGTGGAGCAGCCCCACACCCACAGCTCCACGTAGTGCCTCCCGAGGGCCGGAATGGCCCCTGCAGCCCGAGAGGCTCCATGTTCATGCTAATGACACTAGAACAAGGCCCTTCTCCTTAGCACAGCTCTCAGTTCTGCTTTGGCCAAGGCACCAGAGCCCTCCAATCTCTGAACGTGCTGACAGCTCTGGGTGAGCCAGTGCTGGGGTACTGACTTTCAGTGTTTTGATAAGAGAGCTTCTCCTCAAGGGGAGATTGCACTGGCATCTATGATAGCAATAGAATCAGACGAAAAAAAAAAAGCCACACATGACAACTCCTGGGGAAACCAAACTGGAAAGGAGAGTGGAGGGGGGAAAGAATACAAGATGGGAGCAGAAGATCATGTGAGGTGGATATGACTGTGCTTTGAAAAATCTAGAGTGGTGGACACCTCCAAGGCATGCAGGATGTTGTTATCAATTCATGTGTTGCTTGGAATCGATGGTGAATCCTGGAAAATCTTAGAGAAGCCACCATGGGAAGGAGGGGGAAATTACCTCCTCCCTCATGATCCCACCTGGCAAACTCCCACCACGATAACCAGGATTTTAAAGACATTCCCTCACTGTATAGCTTAGTTCTTTAAAAAAAAAAATCACACACAGCTTGACCAGATGTACCAAAGGTTGAACACAGAAAGGGCCTAAGATAGCTCCACTGGGCAGAGTGTTTACCCCTCTCCCCCACAGCATCTCTTTTAAATTCCCAAGAGTCTGTCCTTTCTGGGAAGAACCTCCTTTGCCTGTGACTTGAGTCACCACTCTCCTCCTTTACAGCCAAACTCCTGAACGTGCCCCTGCCTTCCCACCATCGCCCCCTCCCTGTGCGCTGGTGAAGCCCGCAGTATGGCCGCCACTACACTCTCAGAATCAAGCTCCCGGCTCCTGGGGTGGGAGAGCGGGTGGGGAGACAGGCCTGGCTGTGGAGTCACACAGGCCTGGAGCCCAAGCCTTGCACTGGCTATAGGACCTGAACCTCTTTAATGCTCTCCTAGGGGGCTGCGGACAGCTGTCAACTGAGGACAGTAATAGGAGCCACGTCACAGGGATGATGTGAAGATTAAATGAGATAAATATGCACCTGGCACTTATTATTAAATAAACACTCACCATTATCTAAGGTCCCCAATAAAACTCTGCCGTCCCAAATCCAATGACCTTTCCTCAAGTCTCTTTCCCCACAACCCCACACTCTGGCATCCAGTAGGAAGGCCTGTTCTCTCCCTTCTTAACAGAAACGACCTGATGCTCCACTCCTGATGGCGCCCTCCTCTCTGGCTTCCTCCACGGCCCCCTCCCCATCCCCTCCTCCCCAGTCACGCCCCGTGTGCCGTCTTATTCCACCTCCATCTCTTCAATCCCCCCAGAGTAACTAAGCGCAGAGCGTTTTAAAGAGTAACGGAAAGAACTGCTCATTTTTATGAGTTTCTTTCGTTGTCAACTTATTTTCCACTTATTCTGCTTCTAGGTTTCTTCTGAAAGTAAGGAGGCAGTCGGACTTGCATATGTCTAAAAACCTCAATTAATCTTATTTCTCAATTGGAGACCTCTGTGTGCTCACATGATCTACATGCTACTTGTGTCACGTTACACTTGAGAAAACTATGACTCAGAGACCAGATTAGTTTTCCAAGATCACGCTACTTGTACTCTGAGGAGACACAGACACTGAACCCAGCCCTTGGTCAGGCAACACGGTCCAGTTCTAGAAGCTTCTGTCTCAATAAACCCTTGGATCCTGTACTAATTCCAGCGCAGACTGAGACAGAACCATCTGCAACGTCGTCTCACTCCCCAGGTCCCTACCTCATATCCTGCGCTGCTTCTGTAATGGAACTGTGTGCCCTGCCAAGGGAGGCTGAGTTGGGCTGCTCTGAACATTGTTTTGCCTCCTCCCATCCCCACTTCAAAAATATCCTGTCGATTTCAAAGTCTTCAGGGCAAACCTTCTCGGGGGCACCCTCACTCTGGAAGGACAGTATGGCAGATTACACAGTGAAATGCAGCCAGCACCTCCCTGAAAGGTCTCCATCCACCATCCAGGGAGCAGGAAAACAGGGGTCTTCACTACACTTAATCGAAAATTTGGAAATGACTAGAATACAAATATCTAATCCTAAATTATGTATTTTTTTTAAAAAGCAAGGAACCCTAATTAAGAAAAGGGGTGAAGGTTTCTCTATGGAACATGTGTATAGAGACCCCGCGGGTCACGCACACCGTTGCCCACAGCATCTCCTGGTCGTCGTGACACCCGCCCCCTGCCGGGCTGTGCCATAGCCCAGCCTGGGTAATCCTCAGCCAGACTCCTCTTTCTGTTCCCTTTCTTACTTTAAACATAGGCTCTCTTGTAAATCACTTGGCCGCAAAGAAAACTAAGAAGAAAGAAAAAAAAAAGATGGTGCTTTGGTTCAGACCCTTCCATGATGCATTAACTCTGCCAAATATTTATGCCCGGGAACTGTTTTCCTCGTGACAGAATCCAAGGTTTGGTCTACAGTTTAAGGGATCTTAGGCAAAAGCAAATCCGCACCAGAGAGAGTTTAGGGGCAGGACAGCCTTCCTCAGATCCCTAAAATTATATTCCTTTGACTGGTCTCAAAGCCACACCTGCTGGAGGGGTCTGGGGGTGGGTCTGGGTCAGAGGACAACCAAGGCCACTCACCCCTCAGCTCCAAGCCCATTCTGTCTCATCCCTGTGCCACAGCCCCTTGTCTAGATGTCCCCTCCTTTGAGGCCAAATATAATGGCCATTAAGACCTTTTCCCATCCCCAAACCAACTTCCTACCCCAAGAAACGCCCTAATTCGTCTGTGCAAAGCCAGTCTCCATGAAGCCAAATTTAAGGGCATCTCTAGGTCTCTCTACTAGCCAAAATCTCAGGCGGACAGCTGGGCTTTATGAAAGTAGCCCAGGGAATTGCACACCTTACACCACGGAGGTCAGGAGGCCACTGAGAACAGGAGCTCCACTGAGCTCCTGCCTAGTCCTAGAAACAGCTTCCTTCCTTGGAACAAGAGCGTCTTCATTCTCCTCCCCCTGCTCCCACTGCAGCTGCCCCTTAGACGTGTTTTCTTGGCTCACTTTTCTCCGTGTCTTCTCCTTGAATCTCTGTCTTCATCTCACATGGTGTCTCTCTTGGACAAGGCATCTGTTCTCACAGCCTCAAGCATCATTCTTGAGTAAACGACCACACATCTCGTCTCCAACACTTACCCGAGCTCTGTTAGGTCCAACTTCCTACCTGGCATTTGCTTCAGAGGGCCCTCTGTCCTTCCTGACTCAACATGTTCAAAGTTAAACTCACCCTCTTCTCCACAAAACACGCTCCACTCCCAATCCTCCCGTCCATGAGGCTTGGAAACTCAGGGCCTCCTCTTTGATCCGCACCTGTCTTCATCCTCCACATCCTCTTCCGTTTGCCAGAGAAACATCTCCTCTTCTCCATTCCCACGGCCACCACCTTCATCTAAACTTTCTCTTCCCCACTCCACTGCTTCCCACCACCGTAAGAGAGAGCCCTCCCTTAGACATCAGTTCCACCACGATCCACATCCTCCCTAAGGACTTCAACTCTGCCTTTTTTCACGAAAGCAGCCACAGAGGTTATTCAGCCAACCAGTCTTCAGACTGTGCTCTGATTAGTCCTTTCAAGACTCTCCAGTAGGGTAAGGAGACACCAAAGCAGGTGGGGCGAGTCCGCTCACCTGCTCCCTCCACGGGGACTTGAAATTTCAAGGGGGTTGCCAGCATGTGTTTCCATCTCATGAAGGCTTAAAAACTGGAGACCTCCTGCAGCCCGTGAAAGGATCACTCCCAGATCAGCCCTGACAGGTGGTCACTCAGCCTGTCTTTGGATAGCGGCAGGGAGTACACTGTTTTTTAATCCAGCTCAACTCACTGTTGGAGCCAACAGCCCTCCTAGAAAGTTCTGCTGAACCAACACCTGCTTTTCTGTAACTTCTACTCAGAGGTCTGCGTTCAAAACAAATAGAGGCCAGGCCTACTCTTTACTATGTGACATTCAAGAATGTTCTTGATTTTATTTTCCATCATAACGCCAATGCTTTGCTCTGGACGCACTTTACAGTTTTCAAGCATGTATATATTTCATCTGCAAACAATCCTCCAAAGCAGGAGGTTATTAATTCCTAATCCTCCCTCCCTCCCTGCATGTCTTTGTTTCCCCTTGTTCCCTCGCACAAGCTCCTGCTCTAATCAAGTTGGTTTCCTGACTCGTCCGGTGAAGACCAAACAGCAACTCCGATCTCCAGGCCTTCACTTCTGACGCTCCCGGCACCAGGGAAGGCCCACCCCCCGCAGCCTGGCTCAGAGCCCACAATGTCTGAGAAACTGAGACCCACTGAGTGTGCTGAGAGAGCACAGGGTCTGGAGTTGGACTAGCCTGGATTCAAATCCTATCTCCAAATAGCAGTGCAACCTGGGGAAAACTACTCAACCTCTCTGTGCCTCCACTTCCACATATGCAAAAGGACAATAGCCTGCCCATCACAGGGAGAACTAAATGAGGAAACAATTAGAGCTTGGAACTTGGCAGGGGCTCAGAAATATCCACTTCTATCCTTACTGATCTCTGCCTTGTGACATTTTTTGAAACACGAATACGCTCTGATGACGTACAAGGGAGTACTGCTCACTGCTGTGTTTCTTATTCTCTTTTCCTTAGATGGCTTGTTACCTCCACACAGCGGGGGCTTAGCTCAAGCAAAGCGTGGCTCACTGAGTACACAGCGTAGACTCCCAGGAAGAGCATCAGGGGACAGGGAGGCAGCGTTTCTGCACCTGCTACACGGACAACAGGCCTCGGGTCTCCTAGTCTCAGAAAAGCTCTTTGCTGAGGAGACATACAGCATGGAGATAAACTGCCTGAATGACCCAAGAAAACTTCTGACAGTTGGCCCACGTGTTCTAAACATCCTTTCCTAGTTAAAACTTTAATTCAACTTGAATTAAAAGAAGATTTGGAAGAGCTTGTTTTTGAACAGCAGACTTTCATACCTAGTTACTTCACACGAGACAGACTTTCTCTATGGAAGAAACCCACCCGCTCCGTCCAGCAGCATCCATGTCCAGGACGCGTGGACTTGGAGTTAGGTGTTCCGACACACAATGAGAAGTAATGTATTCATAGCTCAGTGAGGATAAGGTCCTTTATACAATTCCAGACAACCTGGAGAATTAACTTTGAGCCATTCTATAGACGTATTAAGTGAACGCTATGGTGTTAACAGTCAAGAGCCATGAAACTTGGGGAGCCCACTGACTGGCCTTTCCATGTTTTGCTGCTTCATTCCAGGACAAATGCGGACAGATTTAAATTGAAAAGTTAGGCTGTGGTGGCGGGGAGGGTGTAGCTCAGTGGTAGAGCGTGTGCTTAGCATGCACGAGGTCCTGGGTTCAATCCCCAGTACCTCAATTAAAACTAAATAAATAAGTAAACCTAATCACTTCCCCCCTCAAAAAAAATTTTTTTAAAGAAATTTAAAAGTTAGGTTGCTCTTATTTCTGTTGAGTCCCAGCCTTCTGCTGAAGGAACACTGTCTCTCTGAGGGACAAGTCACCACATCTTCCCAGGGGGACTTCTCCAGGTGCTCTTGGCTGGATGGAACTTGGCTCATGTGCTCGCACCTAAGAGGGGGTCTCTCACTTGCTTCCCTGGGTCAGGAGGGCCAGGCCCCACGCAGGGCGGCACCTGCCACAACTTGTCACTTGCGTGGCCTTGTGGAGGGCACTGCTGAGGATGATGTGACTGTGGATGTCCTTTACTTACAAGGATGCCATGTGTCACAATCCTAAGATGCGCACTTCCACACCCCTGAAATGGGAAGTGCCCTCTTATCAAGTATGTGTCATGATTTCATTGCAAGCAGCTCTTCTTGCTGACAGATACAGGATATAATGATGCACCCCCAAATCACTGACATCTGATATTCAGTGCAGGGTGGTGGGTTATGTCTGAGCAAAAGTGGCTGAAAAGGGAACATCTGTTACTCCGTTCTTATTTCCCCATTAACTGAGGTTATGAAATTAAGTCTGCATTCTAATGTAAACCCCCTACTCCCTTCCCACGTATTATATTTACTTATGCATCTATTCAGTCGAAAAGTACTCATTCGTTTATTCGGTGATCAAATATGTATTGATTGTCTGTTCTGTAGCAGGTAGTGAGCTAGATTAGACGCTGTGAGAACAGCCAATATGATATAGTCACACTTAAGAAGACAGCAGAGTCTTCAAGATCACATCGTTGTGGACGTTACACTTTTCTGACTGAACAACAATAATCAGAATGTAGGTCCTAAAAAAATTCAAACTGTGGGAAACTTGATACAACTAATAACTAGGGTTTTTTTTTTAAGAAAAAATAAATTTTTCAAGTAATGTAGAGGAGACCTATAGATTAAAAAACTCTCAAGAGAAATATCCAAAAATCACAACACGTGGACCTGATGTGGATCTTGATTCAAGTAAACAGACTGTATAAAAACTATGACATTTATGAGACAATTGGAAAGGTGAGCACTGATTGGATATTTGATGCTGTTAAGGAACTACTGTTAATTTTTTCAGATGCAATAACGTGCTATTATATATAATAATAACTGTGCTATTTTTAAAGAGTGCCTATCCTTTAATGATACATATTGAAGTAGTCATGAAAGAAAGAATAGGATGTTTAGAATCTGCTTCAAAATATTGAGCTGAACCACGTGAAATTGTTTTTGGAAGTCAAAAATGGCTGACTACCTGCAGTTGCATATTGGACATAGGGAAGTGGATGGAGGTACTAGTGAAATAAAATGATTAATGTTAAAACAGGGGTCATGGTCTAAGGAGTGCATTTGCCTCACCTACCTCCTTCCTGTGTGTATAAAACTTTTCCATAATAAAAAGTTAGTATGTATGACTGAACTATTATTCTGTACGTCAGAAATTGACACATTATATACTGACTATACGTCAATTAAAAAAAAAATGAGGCCTATATTGTACTATGTTTAAAAATAAATCACCAAGTAAAAATACTGCAAGTGGAAAGTGGAGTTTCTAGAACAAACACTCCACCTAAAATATTTATTTTCCATTATAGAGGTAAATGTGTCTAAAACTTTAACAATCTACCTAAGTTTCCCTTTAACTACCTTCACAAGTCAAACTTTACAGGGAAGTACATTAAAAAAATTTTTTTTCGGAGGAGGGTGGGAAGGGACAGGCTGGGAGTTGAAAATTTGTAGATACTGACAGGCATATGTGGAACAGATAAAAAAGATTATACCGTATCGCACAGGGAAATATATACAAGATCTTGTGGTAGCTCACAGCGAAAAAAATGTGACAATGAATATATGTATGCTCCTGTATAACGAAAAATTGTGCTCTACACAGGAATTTGACACAACATTGTATAATGACTATAACTCAATAAAAAAATGTTAAAAAATTCTTTTACCAATTATTCTGACTGATTGGCTTGCTTTTTAACACTGTGCTGTCTGGACAACTTGGCTTTTCCTTCAACAGTTACTCTTGAGTAGAAATCAGAGTATCTGGCATCTCTTTTAAGCTCAGTTCTAAACCACTGTGTGAACTTGGCCACGTGTCCCACTGCCCCTGGGCTCATGTCACTCAACTTTCTTGAGCCTCTGTTTCTCCATCTGCAAACGGGGTGCAATGAAACAGACAATCCTCTCTCTGATGGTCTGTGGGTCTGGACTGTGGTGTCTGCTCTTTGCTCAGCAACTGAAGCTCATCCTCAGTTTCGCACGGGATGCTTGGATATTCTCTGGCTATTGAATAAGGGCCATCCCACCTACACACAAAGACCTCCACACTGCAGGGGACTGCAGGCTACAGAGCTTACCGAAAAGCTCACGCACACAAACGCATCCCTGTGGAAAACCTTTAGGAGTTGGGAGAGTTTTTATAGTGGAGCAGAAAAAAGAACTATTGAGATCCATACGAACAGAGGGCTTGAATGGACCTCTGTGCCCCCAAACTAATGGCCTGTCATAGAATACACACACACATATATATGCGTGTATACACACACACACACACACACACACACATATATATGAAATGTAGGTAATACATTTTAATATAAGTCTGTAATACTTAATATACTGTAAAACATACTTAATGGCCTGAAAATACACCTAATAGTATCAGAGAAGAGCTGGTTGCTGGAGCTTAGCTGGAACTAAGTGACCAGCTGGCAATAGCTGTGGGGACCAGATGGAGGCTTGAGACTGTCGAGCTCAGCATGGATCTGTGAGTTCATTCATAAATCGCTCAGGGAAACTGGCTGAAGCCGGGGATGTGTGTACTTGAGTCTACAAGTGAGTACGTGCCAAAGAGGAGACAGGTAAAGCACGTAATACACAACAGCGGAAGAAGAAAGACTCAAAGCTCCACAGAGGTCACGTCACTTGTCCTCGTGAGACAGAACGTGAATCGTTAACATGGTCATGACTTTGGCCTTCTCTCTGAACAACCAAAGATTACCTTGATGTGCTTCACTCTGTCTTCTTTTTCTGTCTTTGGTTTCTTTCCTGTGGCAACAAAAGATAGTTCCGGATTAATTCATGAAGAAGAAACAGAGAGACATTCCCCCTAAGTTGAATTCTTTCTGAAACTCTCAATGAATGTATTGCTTTAATGTGTACGGGGCCACAACTCAAATGTTTCTTTTACTGCCTTTGGGGGCCCCGGGAGTCATCTTCCCCAGCCAGGTCAGGGCAGAATTAATTATCACCCACAAGGGGAACAGGTGTTCTAGCCTCACTGTGACTACAGATGTGGAAGTAAAGAAATCACAACGGCACGACAACGTAGGTTAAGGCATTACTGTTTTAGTAGGTAAGCATCTTTATCTACCTTTCTTAGAAGGCCGTTCGGATAAGGGCAGCATCCGGTACACTCGGAAGGCGTTGTTTCCTTTCTTTATGCTCTTGTCCTTGACCTCTTCAATGTCAGGCAGGGAGTTCATGGCACATCGAAAATTCGCCTTCCATGTTTTTGGATCGGGTTTATCTACTCCTGGTTGATGCTTTCCTAACAAAATAGCCGAAAGTATTAAGGTTACGAAAAGGAGGTGGGAAATGAGATCTAGAGGAAAAATTTCTGGAGACAGGACTGCTGGCCGGGTAGTACAGAGGGCCCTTTTAATTCCAGGCCACACCTACAGTGACCAACCGTCCTGGTTTGTTTGGAACTGAGAAGGTTCTTGGAATGTGGCAATTTTTGTTTTAAAACCCAACAGTTCCAGGCAACCTGGGACAAACTGGTCACCCTGGCTCTATGAAATAGCTAAAGGGGAAATGATAATGGGAGAAAAATGGAAAATCAAGGTAAGGAAAAGAGAAAGCAAGAAGGCTGGGGAGGCCAACAGGCACAGGTACCTGGAAGGTCTCTTTTTCATCTAACTCTCCAATAGTAAATAAAAGTCCATTCCTGTAAATAGCTCCCTAGTTAGGTTTTATTATAAATAAATACATTCTCGACTACCTTTTGGGGAGAGAAATTCAACTCAAGTTTATAGCTCCAGAACAAATAAGTTCTATATCCCCCTGGTACACACCTGGGGAACTTCATCAAAAAACCGTATTTACAGTAAATTTAAGGACTAAGTTTCTATGGACTGAGTGGAGCATCACTTCTGAGTGATGACATTTGCGCCCTACGTGTCCTGGATGTGCCTGGGGACGAGTCACAGGTTTCTCAGAACTATCTTCATGAAGCCATAAGCCAGGAGATTTCACGTATGTCGTAAAAATAAACAGTAGCTAACATTCTATTGTTTAACTGAAATTTGCCAAGAGAGTAGAACTTAAATGTTCTCAACAACAACAACAACAAAGTACACTTTAAATATCTTACAATTTTACTTGTCAATTATATCTCGGTTTTTAAAAAGGCATCATCAACCACCACGACAAGAGCAACAGCGCCTGCCGCTACAGGTGAGGCGGGTTAATACCTGTATGGATTGCCCAGTTTCTAAAGAGCGGTGCATCCTTCTCCACGTCCCAGCCATGTCTGGCTGCGTGCATCCAGGGGATCTGGAAAATCTTCTTTTCCTGAAAAACAAAAGTAAGTAAGAACTGCAGCCATGGGTTTCAGGCCACCGTTGCAGAAGGTTCTCAAGTCCCAGCTAGTCAGACCCCTCTAGGTATCACTGGGTTTGCTGATTATCCGCTGTAAACCAGACCCACTTCCCCTCGAGGCCCCAAACCTTGACAGTCTACCAGGGGAGACTCAGAGTCGAGTGGACTCTGGCAGAACAGGAATGGATTCCAAGGTCAACGGTGATGATGTGGGACGTGCCAGCATGTTCCGTTACTGTGCCTCCTTCTTTTTGCAGGACCGCAAGTAACTGACCACTTACTGAAACTTCTCATGCTTGGTCTTATCACCTATTTCCATCATTTGGTAAAGAGGAACTCCAGCTGCCTTCGATACATTAAAAATTAGGTATTTCTCCAAAACACTCAGTTTTGCTGCTAAAGAGAAGTGGGGGGGGGGGTCTGAGGCCATTGTCACAGAGACTAAGAAGCTCGATCTGTTCACGCCACCAACAGACACAGAAGATTTTGTTCTAATCCCTGTGTGTCTGCTACCCTACAGGAAACAGCAACAAGTACAAAGAGGTACTGTTCATATGAAGATGATCCTCCTTTTCTGGAGAAAAGCCCCTTGGTACAATTCTCACAGCAGACCCTCTCCATCTCTCTTATATCCCAAGAGGTATAACTTAAGATGCTTAAACTGACCCTGGCAAACATATGATTAGAAACTAGTGCTTTGGAAACACAGTCACACTCATAGTAAAACTACACACATGAAACCTGGTTCACTTTGCATGTCCACGTGGTCTCGGTTTTGGTTTTTGCAACCCCCCAACGAGCTATGTCTATGTTATGATTTCCACTTCACAGTTGAGGAAACTGAGGACCAGAATTACATTATCTAACCAAAGAACTTATGGCAGTAAGTGTCTAAATTCAAAGCCAAGGTCGTGTGATCCCATATTCAGTCACTTATTCACACCACCCATCGTATCCTAGAGTTTGGATTCAGATTTCCCATCCTACAACAGATCTGTTCACTTGGATTCTGTGGAGATTAAAGCCCAGGAAAGCTGCATTTTTTTTTTTAAACTCTCAAGGTAGGTCTGACAATTTCTAGATCTGGGGAATCTCTGCACAAGACACTGGAGCAGGAAAGAAAATGGTAGTAGGGATTTCCCACCACTTTGGTTTCACACAATGAAAGATACAAAGGGTCCCTACTGACCCAAAAGGGACCCTGCGCCTCTCCATAGAACCAGTTGCAAAGCCTGAACTAAAAATATGTCAGAATATTTGAGGGTTCCCCAGAACTGTTAAAAGGGGAAATTCTATGTATTTAAAACTGAGTCAGTAAAGAAGAACTGAAAGCAAGACAGAGGCAGGGCTTCATGCTGACCATTTTCAAAAGGGCAGTGATCAGAAGAGGGTTGAGTGAAATTTTATTTTTTAATGTAGATGAAAATCAGAGAGCAAAATCACCTAATGCAGTTTTGACATTCACATGAAAATGAAAAAAATGAAAATGAATTTATCTCAGTGAATGAATTTTTTCCTGAAGTGCACAACAGAATCTAAAGGTTTATGATTAAAGATATATATCCTTAAAAGAATTTGCTGTTGTGTATTTTCCGAGGTCAAAGGAGATCTGGGGTGACACAATCTGAAATCTATCTTCTAAGACACAAAGTTGATTCTGAGAGGTAGATCTTTTTCAACCATTTTTGTGTTTTCAGGTGCATGCAAACACTCAAACCAAACCTAGTATCCTGGAAACCATGCCCAAATCATGAAACCACAGAAGTAAGGACTGAACTTAGCAATTATCCACCATGGAGCTTCCTGAAATGGACAGTTTTTCCAAAGATAAATAAATGACCAATAAGCACATGAAAAAATGCTCAATGTCACCAGTCATTGGGGAAATGCAAATCAAGACAGCAATGAGATATCATTTTGACCCACTAGGATGGCTAGAATTTTTTTTTTAATCCCAGAAAATAATAAGTGTTGGCAAGGAAGTGGAGAAACTGGAACGCTGCTGGTGGGAATGTAAAATGGTGCAGCCACTATGGCAACCAGTTTGGCTGTTCTTTAAAAAGTTAAATGCAAATTACCACATGACCCAGTCATTTCACTCAAGAAATTACAAACAGCTGTCCCAGCAAATATTTATACATGAACGATCATAGCAGCACTACTCACAACGGTCAAAAGGTGGAAACAATCCAAATGCCCATCAACTGATGGAGCAAAGAAAGTGCAGAAAACGGAAGATTACTCAGCCACAAAAAGGAACACTGTACTGATACATGCTATGAATGGGGTGACCCTTGAAAGCATTATGCTAAGAAGGTTTCCACAAAAGGCTACACATTGAAACATTCTGTTTAAATGAAATATCCAGAAAAGGCAAATCCAAAGAAAGAAAGCAGATTAGTGGTTGCCATGAGCTGGGGAAACGGGAAATGGGGAGGGGCTGCTTAACGGTCCAGTGTTTTCTTCTGGGGTGATGAAAAGGTTCTGGGATTAGATATGCTGATAGCTGCGTAATACTGTGAATGTACTTAATGCCACTGAACTGCACATTTTTAAATGACTAAAATGGTAAATGAAAAAAAACTACATGTACCTTTTAACGTTTTTCATACTGCAGGAGAAAAAGAAATGCTAATAAATGTATCACATATGTCTTTTTTTTTTTTTTAAAGACCATCTTAAAAGCTAAAGAAGGCAAAACTCTTTCTATAACTGACCATTCCCACCCTGGTTTTGTGGGACAAGGAGGGCGCTGCTCTGTGTCTGTGTAGACCCTGTGACATTAGTAGGTGCCATCAGAGTCCCCAAGCACCTGGTTCCCACATGGGGTGACCATACACCGTGAATGGAAGGACTGCACTTGTGTTTACGTATCGAGAACCCTGCCCAGCTGTGGGCAGGAGGGAGAAGCCCAGCTGGAGCTGAGAACATCTGAGGTAATCCTGCGCAACGCGGAACAAACCTGCTTTGGCCCCAGGTGGAAACTCTTATCTTCCCCAATAAGTATAAGATGTTCCAATTTCGTTTGCTATTTTTGCTTGGACTTCTTACTTTGTTCCGAGATGGCCTGATATTTACACGAGCACAAGCTAGCTTTCAAAGCGCGGAGAAGGAAAAGGTCAGGAACTACCTGATGATCTCCTGGGCTTGGGGAGTGGCCTCGGCGCCCGGGTCCAGGCGGATCTCCGGTGAGAAATGAGAACAGAAATAACCAGGGCGGGAATCAATTGGAGATACGAGAAAAACAATGAACCTGGAGGTGGCTGCCTCCTTCCTTCCTTAGGAAACAGTCCAGGGAAACCACAACTAAGCAGGAAGACAAACCCAGAACTGACCTGGTCTCTTCAACAAGCCAAGAGTGAGCAGGAAAAAAGGGAGAGGGTGCTGTCCCCAGGCGGGGGATGCTTCAAGTCAGAGCAACCAAACGCAACCTGCGGGCTTTCTTTGGATTCTGACTGAACAATTCAACATTAAAAAAAAAAAAAAGGAATACTCAAGGCATTGTGAATATGAACAGGGCAGTAATGACACTTTAAATGATGACTCATTATGATTAATTTATCATTACCTAATTGATAATGGTATTCTGAATATATAAGAAAATGTTCTGGAGGGGCGGGTATAGCTCAGTGGTAGAGCGCATGCTCAGCATGCATGAGGTCCTGGGTTCAATCCCCAGTATCTCCATTAAAAAAAAAAAAAAAAGAAAGAAAATGTTCTTTGGTCTGGTATAGATGTACACTGTCAGGAAGTTGCTTTATCTCACACACACAGATTTTTTTAACTGTTAATAATTGTTCAATCTAGATGTGAGTTTTAAATCTAGATGAGAATTTGCTATGCTATTCTTTCTAGTCATTAGAGCATCCAAGCATACCGTGTACATTTGCAAACACTCTTAATAAAAAGTAACTGGCCCAAGCCACGGCCCATTTCAGGAACTAGTTAAAATGCGGCTTTGCCAAGCTTCCTCACAGCTCCTTCCGAGGAACCCAGACGGCCCATTCCATCACCCCCTCCCACACCTCCTCATGTAGGAGATGGAAACAAATTTAAGGTATTAATTAACCACCGATTTGTCTCTTACTAAGAATGCACTGGATTTGATGGACTCCCCACTCGAGAGAGACATGACCTAGTGTTCTTAAGTCTAATTATCTTAATGGAACAAAAACAGAATCACTAGTGTTCCTCCGCTTCAAGTGCCCATCCCTCATCTGTTTATGCACAGAATGGTATTGCCTAGAGCCTCCCGAGAGTCAGGCACGAGACCTCACCCGGAGTTTGCAGCAACAATCAAGACGTCCGTGGCGCCTGCCCTCGTGGGACCTCCCTCCCTAGAGTCCTTCACCGTTACTTAAGGATCAACGGTCAGAACACGACGAAGGCATAAGTGAATGACAAAGCCCCGTACACAGCACCTGTTTCCTAAGAGTCACAGCAGTCTTCAGTGGGAGAAGAGAGTCCAGAATGGCCTCAAACCACTCAAAATACAAGCTGGGGTTCTTCGGCTTATGAATGGAAAGGAAATAATAGTAGGGTCTGAGTTAAATATTTATGTGGACGGACAAATGCCAACAGCCTAAGTGAGGCTATAAAAAGATGCCCTGCGGAGGTGTGGGGACAGACAGGGAGGAAATGTCCTGAGGCCATCTGAGGTCTCCAGTGACAGGGACAACACTGCCTGTGTTGGCCGCTCGGTGGCCCAGGAACTCCTGTGACAGCAATGTCCTGAGAGGCGCCGTCTGCTGCGGCCCCCGCACACTCCCCTTCCTCCAGACTGGCCACGTGCAGCGGAGCAGAGGAGCCAGACAGGATGGTGGAGGAGTCTTCGGCCCCACTGTGCTGGGAAGAGAACTCACCAGCCAAGGGCCAGGTGAGTGAGGCTCAGCAGTAAGAACCACCCGAGAGGGGCCAAGTGCTCAGCTGCACAAAGAGGAATCCACTCACGTTCTGGTCTATCCAAAAAAACATGGACAGAATGGGTGGAGGAAAAGGCATCTCAGTGGAGAGTTCCAGTAAGGAAACAACCTTGAGCGGGTGTGTCAGCCTCCAACAGCTGTCATCACAAATTGCCACACACCGGGCGGCTTACTGCTGCAGAGATGATTTGATCACAATTCTGGAGGCCAGAAATTCACAATCAAGACGTCAGCAGGGCTGCATTCCTTTCCAAGGCTCTAGGGAGAACCTCCCCTTGCTTCTTCCAGCTTCTGGGGGTTCCAGGTGTTCTTGGCTGGTGGCTGCATCACTCCGATCTCTGCCTCCTTCCTCACACAGCCTCCTCCTCTGTCGGTGTGTCTCCTCCTGTCATTGGATTGGCCCAGCTGCATAATCCAGGATGATCTCGTCTCGAGATCCTTCAGTTAATTCCATCTGCCAAGACCCCTTTTCCCAAGTAAGGTCACACGCACAGTTTCCGGGGTCAGGATGTGCACATTTCTTTTCGGGGCAGTGGGAACAGGGACCACAATTCAACCTACTACAGAGAACACCTAACTGCAGCCTGTTAAGTGCCTACTTGACACAGGAGACATGATGACATTGTAAGTGTGCCAATGCATCAAGCCAGCCTCAACTAGTGGGTGTGTTTTAAAAAAAGAAAAAGCAAAAACAACTTACTTCTCTTCAGAAATAAGGAATATCTGTTTTAATTTCATGCTTTAAATACATATAGGCAATGTTATCTTGTTCTTCAAAAATACAATCCTACAGAACCTACAAGCCTTGGTTTCCTTGTCTGCAAAATGGAAGGAATGACAGGATCGACCCCATAGTGGGGATTATGGGAGTGAATGCATCATTTTGCATAGGGGACTATCTGACACTTTGTAAATGTCAGTTTTATTATTATCATTATCATTATTCTTACCTCTTCAATGCTCCGAAACTATCATCTCTCCTTTCCTTACACCTGCACCCGCATCCCTGCTAATCCAGCAGGCCAAGGGGCTAATAAGCCCGATTTCTTGTTTCTTTGGGGGAGGCTAATTGCAAAGCCCCTCCAGGATACAAATCTAAAACACAATAGACATAGCAAGCCTAGAAAAATACACCGTTTGCCATGAGACCTTAAGATATACGACAGGTCACATGAAGTGAGTATATGGTTTACTTAACTACTTCTGTTTATTTCTACCCCATCTTGCTTCAGAAGGGACTCATTGAAATAGATATATTCAAATATGGCATACACGATTACATTTAAGATATGTGAACAAAATTAAGTAAATGAGGGGAAAAGAACAAAAAGAAATAAGATTTGAGAGATATGTAAAAAGCTAAAATGAAGCAACAAGTAGTATTAGTAAAAAGAAAAAAAATTATGCTGCAATATTTTGTACACTTGTTAGAAGCAGCCACAATCTGGCTCTAAGCTCTCGAGCACGTGATACAAAGGTAAAGGCTGACCTGCTAAATTATTCATCGTGTCCTTAAGATTAAAGATGAGCAGGTAGGGAGAAGAGGAAACAGACATTTGCTCAGAACTGCAATATTCCTGGTAGTGGGAGAGAAATCTCTCTCTGGGGCCGTCTTAAAGAGAGCATGACATATTAGTTGCTTTTCTAGATTATAACTAAATGTTTCCAGGTGTTCTTTATTTTCGCATCCAATGTCTTCCTGATTCACCCCTAAGAGGTAGGATTCATTGGACTGAGAGTTCTGAGGTGGATGACAGTAAGGAAGTCTGTACGTATAAACGCCGAGGAGGAGGTTGTAAATGATGGAAGACTTCTTTATTTTAGGACAAACAGGCACACAAACAGGATTTCATGATAATAGTGGGGGAAAAAAATTGGACAAAAACAGAAGTTTTCTTTACGCAGAGAAGAAAATCAGTATGCTCCATTCCCAGTAGAAAGTCCTAGAGTTGCCACGTCCTCTAATCCCAGAAAACCAGGAGATCAAGAAAGGAATTTAGAGGAGGAAGAGGGTAGGAGTCACCGAACAGAAACACAGCAGAAAGCTTCCCCTATTCATCCACAATACCGAAGCCTTAAATCAGGGTCGAGGCTACAGTCTGAGATGATGATGCGTCTTTCTTACGTGACAATTTGATATTTTCATGATCATTTTTGTTTGGTTGGCTTTTGTAATTAATAAGCAAAGTTTGAACACAAAGAACAACTTTTACTTGTGGTGATCCATGTGCACCTGCTTTTAGTAAGGATCTCTCTGTCTCTCATACATGCGCGCACACACACACACACACACACACACAGAGGCCTCCACGCACTTACCTTGTTAAGCCACTTGAGCCCTGGTATCGTATTGGAGTTGATCTGTTCCTCCAGCCACGGGCGCATCCGCATCCTTTCCACCGGCATGGTGCCCTTCTGCAGGAGAGAAACACTGTTAGGCATTGCTGCCACTGACTGTCAGTTCTGCTGTGTGAAGTTTGACACCGCTGCCTGACCCTCTTCTATTTTCCCCTCCCTCAAAACCACACGGTTTATGTGTACACAGGAGGAGGGGGCTATGGAGCGTATTAGGGTCTTTGCCCTCAAGCCCCCAGCCCCTGCTTGAGTGCTCCATCCATTCCCGAGGGGCTGTCTCTCTGTGGACCAAGCCTGCTCTCAGCTCAGAGGGTCCCCTGACACAGGAGGTGGGCCCAGACACCTCTGAGCGGCCGTGCCTGAGGCTAGATCTTACTCCTCCCAACCTGGCTGGGTTTACAGCAGATACCTTCAGTGGGTCTGGCATTCAGAGGACCAGGATTTTAGATGCCTTCGGTGTTATCCTTCCAAGAGCCAGGGTGGACACAGGAGACAAGCGTTGTGGGAAAGAGTTACGATAACCAATTCACTCTGAAGCCCCAAAGCCCTGAAGCAAGCAGTTCACGCGGTTCCAAGATCTTTCAGCAGCTAGCCCATCCCTCTGGATGTACCGTCTCCCTGCAGAGCATGCCAGCCTCTTGCTCTGACTTCAGCTTTGCTTTTACGTGAAAAAAAGTGCTTCCTCGAGAATCTTGCTTCACTGCCACCCTCACCTTCTGACCTGAGGTCACCTTTCCTCTACCAGCCCACATAACGCCTCTCCCCCCTCCTTCCAGACACACTTCCAGATAGTCTTTCCCTCGTCCACCTAAAGATACCCAGCGGGATCGCTAACAAAGCGCTGTCATCCTAGTCACATGGGCATTTAGATTCAGTGAAGGGCTCAAAAGCACAGGCAAGGCCGACTCAAGTCCCCATCCTGCAGGGCTTCGTGGACAGTGTGACACGATCCTGTTTTCAACCCTTAGCTGCCTCATCTTTCTTTTACTCATTTCCTCCTCCAAAAATGAGCTCTGAGAATTCTATTCAGAGGGCTTTGGGCTGAGAGGAGATGATCAACGTCTCAGTAACT